AGAGAGAGAGAGAGAGAGAGAGAGAGAGAGAGAGAGAGAGAGAGAGAGAGAGAGAGAGAGAGAGAGAGAGAGAGAGAAAGAGAAGAAGAGAGAAGAGAAGAAAGAAAAGAAGAGAGAAAAGAGGGAGAAAAGAAGAGAGAAAAGAAGAGAGAGAAAAAATAGGCACGATAGGTTGACTGTCGTGCCAGGGTGAAGAGAGAAGAAAGAGGAGAGAGAAGAGATGTCGTGCATGGTGGGTTGACCCTACCGTGCCAGACAGAGAAGTGAGAGAAGAGGGATGAGAGAGAAGAGAGAAGAGATGTCGTGCACAACGGGTTAACCCTACCGTGCCAGACTGAAAAGAGAGAGAGAGAGGAGCAGTGAGAAAGGTCAGGTATGACGGGTTGACCCTGCCATGCCAGACAGAAGAGATGTCGTGCATGATAGGGTGACCCTGCCCTGTCAGACAGGGAAGAGAGAGAAAGAGAAGTCAAGCACGACGGGTGACCCTACGGTGCCAGACAAGGAGACAGAAGAGAAGTCATGCCCAGTGGGTTGACCTTGCCATGCCAGACGGAGAAGAGAGAGAGAGAGAAGAGAAGTCATGCAAGGCGGGTGACCCTGCCGTGCTAAACAAATGAGAGAGAGAAGAGAAGTCATGCACTACGGGTTGACCTTGTCGTGCCAAATGGATAAGAGAGAACTTGTGCACGGTGGGTTGATCCTGCCGTGACAGACAGAAAAGAGACAGAGAAGAGAAGTCGTGCACGACAAGTTGACCCTGCTGTGTCAGACAAAGATAAGAGGGAGAGGAGAAGTCATGCACGATAGGTTGACCCTACTGTGCCAGACGGAGAACGGAGAGAAGAGAGAGAGACATAAACACGGTTGAGCCTGCCATATGAGAAAAGGCTTAGTAAGTCGTGTCAATCAGGAGAAAGAAAACATGAGAGCGAAGAGAGAAATACATGGATGACAGCTGAGCCTGCCACAATGGAAAAGGCTCAGCCTGCCATTCAGTCAAGCAAGTAAGAGAGAGAGAGACGGACAGAGTCAGGGACGGCAGCTGAGCCCATCGCTCAGGATAGGGCTTAGCCTGCCATCCCTACCATGAGAGAGTAGGCAAGAGAGGAATAGAGTGAGAAAAGAAAGAATCAAGAATAGAGAAGAAAAGAAAGAGAGAGAGAACAGAAAGAAGAAGAGTGAGAAAGAAATATGAAGAGAGAGAAAGGAAAGAAGAGGAGAGAGAAAGAAGAGAGGGAGAAAGGAAAGAATAAGAGAGAGAAATGAAAGAAGAGAGAAAGGAAAGAGGAGAGAGAAAGAAGAGAGAAAGGAAAGAGGAGAGAGAAAGAAGAGAAGGAAAAAGAAAAGAAGAGAGAGAAATGAAAAAAAAGAGAAAAGAAAGAGGAGAGAAAAAAGAGAGGGAGAAAGGAAAGAAGAGAGAAAGGAAGGAGGAGAGAGAAAGAAGAGAGGAGAGAGAAAGAAGTGAGAAAAGAGAGAGAAAGAAGAGGGAGAAAGTTTACCTCGAAGGGCGAAAGGGTACCTGCTCAAAGTTTTCTCTCTCCTATTTTTTTCTCTCTCCAAAGGAAGCCAAATGTGACTCAAAAGTGAAGAATAAGCCAAATTTTAATTG